CCCCATCCCACACTTCAAGCAGGCCGCTCTTGGTGAGCTCGTGTGGTTCCAGATTCCAGTTCGCACAAATGATCCACGGGTCAGCCAACGAGCAGACAAACCTACTGATAGCTCGTAGGCGGGGAGTATTGATGCCACCTGTTTTGGGCCCTGGGAATAGGTAGGCCGACGCCGGCACGACGTTGCCACGCTTAAGATGCAGGGTGCTAGGACAAAACCCCTCAATAGCTCTAGGTTTGGCAGCGCGGAGCCGCTCCCAGGAGGTGGCTGCAATGTGCCTTTTGTGTACAACCCACTCACCGCCCCTGGGGCCAGCAGGTGAGGATGCTGAAGCCGATGCAGGGGTGCCGACCATCTTCCATCCATCCTTGAGCAGCTCCGCGCGGGCGGCCTCCATGCCACTAACCTTGACATGGGTCTCGGCGAAGGCTACTGTCTCCAACATAGTGCCTGCACGTCGCATGAATGACTGAGCCTTGGGGCCCCACTCACTGATGTTGGCAAACAGCAAACGGGCCGAGTGAGGGTTGGCACCGCCCTCCTCCGTAGCCTCCATGCACGGGCCTCCCTTAGCAATACTCTGTGTGCCAGAAACCGAAGCCGAAGGAGGAACCGAAGGCGGGGTGCCCCTCGAGGTTGGCGCCGCCGCCGAAATCGAGGCACACGTAGAGGTCCTCGGATCCAAGGGTGGCGATGCAGGGGCCCGCGCAACTCCTGAAGTTGAGCGTGAGAGATCTGACGTGCACGTCTGCGCCGACGTTGACAAGTGCGGCCTCCCGCAAAACGGCAAAACCACAATTGAAACCTCAGAAGGGGTCTCCCGTCGCTGCGGGGCCCTGGTATCAAGCGCACGGCGCGCGTCGATATGACTGAGAGAGTTGCGAGCCAGCTCCTCCTGCCAATCGTCGTAGTCGATGTCGCGGAGGCCATTGAGGTAGTCACGGTACGCCTGCCGTTGACGACTACGAGCATGCTACGCTCGCTCACAAATCTGCCTGGCCATGTCCAACTGAGCAACCGCAAGATTGCCGTGGCCTGCTGAGTCCGCCACCTCCTGAACAAGAGGCTGTAGTGCTGGATCTGACAGGAAACTGGCAACGTATGGAATGCACATCCTCTTCCAGTCGGCGAAATCGGAAGCATCATCCACAGTGCTGGGGCCAGGCACCCACCCAAGCACCTGTGAGCGACCTCGACTGCCTCTCAAGTAGCAGTCGATTATGCAGGGCCGCACGCCTGGCAGGGTTCTGATCCTTGCAATGGAGCACCCTGTCCTCGAAATCAGAGTCGTCATCGCTCTGAGAGTAGCAGAACTTGTAGTGGCCGGAAACCTCCAGGTCTGGGAGGAAGGCGAGCTCGTCGTCCCTCGAGAGGAAGATGTCCCTGTAGTACGGGAAGGGGGAGCCACCAAATGTGACCGCAGCCATGCAGTCGCGGGTGCTAAACATCTTGCGAATCCCGCTTCTTCTCGTCAATCGCTGCACTGGCCTTGGCTCTGGCGGCGGCACGCAGGGCCTCGGCGCTGATGCGCTCACCTCCACCACGTGACGATCCAGCAGCACTGCCGCCAGCAGAAGAGGCCCCAGCAGCAGTAGCCGAAGGCTCCGCAGGGCCCGAGGCAGGGCCGCCATCCTGACCGCGTCGCCTCTTGGCCTGGAGCCTGGCGTGGAGGGCCTGAGCCTCCTCCCGCAGCTTGAGGATCTGCTGAGCGGCGGGACCCAAGGCCTCCTGAACCTTGGCCTGCACACTGTTGGCGAGCTCCCCCTTGATGCGAGCCCACTCGGTGCGCTCTGTCTCGTCGATCTCGAGGCCCTCCAGGTCGAAGAGGGGGCCATCGACGAAGCGCAGCGAGCCTTCGTCGACGAGCGTCGAAAGGTTGATGGCCGTAGCAGCGGATGCGGTCTCCGACCGCGGCGTCGATGGCGTCGGGAGCTGCTTGGCGCAGGCGTCCTCCCAGTCGTGCTGGGCCTGGCGTGCCGCCTCCGCCGCCGCGTCCTCCGCTGCCTTGGCGTCGGCCAGCCAGGCCTCTCCCTCGACGACCCGCCGCGCACAGGTCTCAAGCCACGCCTGCGCGCGATCCCCTTCGCGGAGACCTCCTCCTCCAAGAGTGGGGGGCGGCGAGGGGCATCGGCGGCAGGCTGCTCCGTGGCTCCCAACTTGGCGGACAGGGCCTCGAGCTCGTCGCGGTCGCCGAGCTTCTCTCGGAGCAGCGCGAGGGGATCGGCGGGACGCGGGGCCCCCCGTGGCTCCTCAGGCGGCGGTCCGCCGCCGTAGGGGTACCAGCCTGGTCCATGCCAAAACCCATGGGCGGCGCTCCTTCGGTGCACCCTTGGCGACCCTCGGCGGAACAGGAGGGCACTTGGAGTGGCCCCCCCCAGGCTGCGCCGCGCCCGTGGCAGTGTCGAAAGGGTTCGACGCAAGCGTGGGCGGGCCGAGCGACCACTGGCCGGTGGGCATCTTGTCGGGCGAGGGGTGCGGGACCATCGGCGAGCAGCACTGGTAGCACCAGTGGTTGGACTTGAAGTTCCACCGATAGCGGCAAGCCGAGCAGCTGACGAACGTGCCCGACTTATCCTTACCCTTGCCGCACGCGCCATTGTTGCCCACGTTGCGGCCCATGTGCTGACGGCCCTGCTGAATGGAGCAGGGCTCCACACCTGGGGAGAACCAGGCGGAGAATGTGAAAGCAGCCGCGGACTAGCGGTATCCGTTTGGTCCCCTGGGGAACAAGGCATCTTGAGCCAAAATGGCTACGGAAGAACGAACACATGGAGTAGGATGAGGAGGATAGAGGGGAGAAGGGGAGGTGATGGGAGGGGAGGGTGCATGCTTCCCTGGCCGGTCGAAGTCTTACACTACGACGCATGGCTGCCCACTTCTAGACGCGGCGGTTCCAAAATCCAGCGTGCGTGCAAATCAGAAGGTGGGGCCCGATACAGCTAGGCAGGCGCTTGAATTCCAGTTGGAAGGTCCTCCTTTTCTTCTCCTTCCTCCTCGTCCTGGACTCGACTCGACTCGACTTGACTGAAGGCGCTGCCTGTTTTGGAGAGGGGAGCGGGGAGAGAGAAAGACGGCGAGAACACGTCATTCTTCTCCTCCCCTCCTTCCTCTCATTTTCCTTCTGCATAATTCCCTGTCGCGCCCCGAGGCCAGTCGGAAGGGCGGGCTGGGCGTTCCACCTGAGACGTCCTTACCAGTTCTGATCCTTGAGCGTAAACAGTGGCAGCAGCTTCACAGATGGAGGGCGGGTGGTTGTCAAAATGTTGCTCTCGCATTGGCGCCTCGCACACTCGTCTTAAGCAATTGCAGGAATTTCGAAGATTGAGGGTGAACGGTTTTCAGCATGTGGCTCTCGCTTTATTTCGCGCACGTTCGTCTGACAAGTTGTAAGGGCTTCACGGATTGAGGGTGGGCCGTTTTCAAAATGTGGCTCTCGCCTAAACGCCGCCCACACTCGTCAACAAAAACGGACAGAGTTTAAGGCATTGAGGGCAGTTCCTTTCCAACATGTGGTTATCGCCTCAGCGCCGCGCAGATTCGTCTGAAACGTTAGCAAGCGTTCCATGGATTCCCATGGCAGGCGTGCGTTTGGGAACGGTTCAGGATTGTCAGGGCGCAACAATTACTTTGATTCGCGGTGTTGAAGACCTAAGAATGGTGTTCTGGCGCGATTCATGATCGTCAAGACGCAACAGCCAAATTAATTCGTGGCGTTGGGGTCCCGATGACGGAGTTCTGGCATGCTTCAGGATCTTCAAACGGTTGTCTCCCAAAGGGGCACTTCCTTCAGTGGAAATCAATTATTGTAGTCTTGGGTTTGCACTGGTTTCCTCCTCCTCCTCCTCCTCCTCCTCTTCCTCTTCCTCTTCCTCTTCCTCCTCCCCTCCCGTCCTTCCTCCTGGAGGCACACGGGTACTGTTTGCCGCCCAGCACGAAAAGGCCGAAGCGGTCCTCGTCCTCGTCCTCGTCCTCGTTCTCGTCGGCTTCGCTGTTGTAGTCTTCGTCCTCGTCTTCGTCCTTGTCGTCTCCTCGTCCTCGTCGTCGCCGTGCTCGTTGCCCCCCTCGTCGTAGACCCTGTCCCCCCCCTCCTCCGTTCCCCCCCTTCCCAAGACCTCCAGGGCCCTTCATCGAGTAAACGGCCGAATTGAGCTCGCTGGGAAGTGGCGCCTCCCAGGGAGTCCACCGAAACCGACCGTGTGCAGGCGTCTTGCCGTCTGGGCCACCCTCTCCCCTGCTCCCCCGCTCCCTCGTGCCTCCCCCAGGATGGACCTACCGGGGGAGGGGAAGTGTCTCGCTTGGAATTGGCGGGACCGTGTTCGGCACATGCGTTTTCCATGCCGCCTGAACCGAGATATCTGCCCCGCTGCCCCCCGGGCTGCTGGAGGAGCCGCCGTTGGCGGTCTGGGGACTGGCCACAGCAAAGCGCGCGCTGATCTTGCAACCCTGGCCCGTGCCTCCGGTCCGAGAGCGCGAGGAGCGCAGCCTGCGCGCGGGAAAAACGTCACTTCTTGCGCTTATGGTGCATTTTGCGCGACACAGCCATAGCAGGGCTGAACCTCAACGGTGCTTTTCGTTTTCGTTTTGATTTCGTTTTCCCTCGCTTTTGTCTCGAATCCGCCTTTACCACAAAACGAAGCCGAAACGACAACGGCCCACGAAACCGCCCAAAACACCGTTCAGGTCCAGCCCTGACCCATACTTCTTCTTCTTCTTCTCGTCGCCGTCCTCGCCCTCATCGACGCCGCCCTCTCGTTGCCGCCGCGGTCGCCGCCGTCGCCGTCGTCGCTGCCGTCGCAGTCGTCGCCGACGACGGCGACGCCGCTGCCGACCCCGCGGGCGCGGGCGCCGAGGCCTGCCCAGCACGAGCGGCCGCAGCTCCTGCGGCGGCAGCCCGGCGCCCCCCGCGGCGGCCCGGGAGCCGGCCGCCGGCTCCGCGGGGGGCCGCTGGCCCCGAGGAGCGCCCGCGCTCGGCGGCCCCCCCCGGCCGCCCGGGGGTGCGGCAGGAGGGCCGCCGGCAGGCAGCCTCGCGAGAGCGCCCTCGCCGCCGGGGCCGCGGGCGCCCGCGCCGCCAGCGCCGCCGCCGACCCCGTCGAGGCCTGCGGGGCCTCTCTGATAGGGGAGCGAAGGACGGCACAGACAGAACAGCTCGAAGGTCCGCGCGGATTTCTCGGATCCGCGCTGGACCGCCCTGGCGGCGCCTCCGGCGCCGCCCCTGGCGCGCTCCGCGCGGACCTCCGAGCTTTTATGTGTATGTCATTCTTGGTTCCCCCATTTCTGGCGAAAGTCTAAACATATTCTAAGCTTGTTAAAAGCAATAGAAAAGTCGCCTCCAGACTGTCTCGTTACTATTTCTGAGCCTTCCTCCTTCAGAGGGACACGCCCGACTTGAGGCTTGCATTGCCTCTCTGGCAGCCCGCCGATGCAGCAGCGGGGGGGGCGCTGGCCAGCCGTCTCGCCAGCGCGCCGTCGCCGCTGGGGCCGCTGGCGCCGCCGCCAGGGCGGGCGGAGTCTCCGTGGCTGCCCGGTGGTGCGGCGGCGAGAGAGCCGTGCGGCCTCCCCGGGGCTCCGCCGCCGCTGGGGCCTCTGGCACTGGCGCCTGTTCGGGGGGGCGGCGAAGAGGGGGGCGCCCCAGAGGGGCAGCGGCAAATGCGCGGCCCAGGGGGGTGAGGCCAGGGACGCCACGAAGCAAGAAGAGGCGCCCGGAGATCTGAGGAAATGTCATGTCATGGCTCACCCCATGATATCCCCCCCCCCCCCTAGTCGTCACCCCCCTCTCTGCCGCCCCCGACCTCTGGAGCCGCCGCCGCCGCTGGCCCCCGCCAGGCCCTGGAAGAAGCGCCGGGCCGAGCAGCTCGACCAGCTCCCCTGCGCGGCCTGCCCGTCCCCGAGCGGGGGCTCGAGCGGGCAGGGGCCCGCCGCCTCCCGCGGGGCGGCGCCCGGCAGCGCTGGAGCGCCAGCAGCTGCCGCCTCCGCCCCGCCTGCGCCCCGGCGCGCTCCAGCCTCGCTTCCCGCCCCCTCGCTGCCCTGCCCACTGGGAGCGCCCAGCGCTGGCCAGGGCCAGGCTCCGCTGGGTGCTCCTGGGGCCTCTGGCTCGCCCTCGGCCTCCTCCGACCCCTCCGAGTGCCAGTCCTCGCCCGGGACTGGCACCAGCACGGCGGCTTCGAGCTCCGACAGCGCGGTGGCGCCGCCGCCTGAGGTGGCTGGTTGCGCCACGGCGGGAGGATGGCCCCCCGCGTCCTCGTGGCGCCCGCTCAGCCCGACGTGCTTGGCGTGATTGGCCCTGCTTGGGGGCACGCGCGAGGGCCACGTGGCGAGGGGGGCGACCTCCTGAGAAGGCCGGAGGGGCTTCCCAGAACCCAGCAGAGGTCCGAGGCTTTTCCGGAGGCTCTTGAGCAGGCGGGAAGGTTTGTGCGAGGCCTCCCTTCTCCCCCCCGCTTCGCGCCAGCCCCCGCTCGCGTGTCGCCGACCTTCGGTTCACGTCCACGAGCTGGGAGAACTGCTCGTGGGGGAGCTGCCTCTTGCTGGCGTGCAGCGCCGAGCTCAGGCTGGAGTAGTCCTTGCCGGTCTGCCTGCTGATCTGCTCTTGCACGTGCAGTTGCCTTCTCACGTCCTCCAGGCGCTCCTCTACGCACGCGGATGCCTCGCCCTCCAGCGAGATGCTCAGAGGCACGCTCACCGCCTCTCGCTGCTCCGTCCTCTCCTTGTACGTGCTACCCTGCACGAAGGACTCCAGGGCGCCGTAGTTGCTGGCCGCGAACTTCTTCCCAGTGCCGCCGCTGGCAAGCTTCCAACGCACCTTCTGGCCATCGTCGCAGAGCTCGAAATCATCGTGCTCTGCCAGGAACCTGGCCAATCGGTCATTCATGGCACGTGCGCGCGGTGGGGTATTTGAGAAGAGCGACCACCGCTAACCACCAACCAAATGAGCGAATATAAGACGAGGCCGCAATAACAGCCGATGGGAGCGGTTGCATAACAGGAAATCCTACAATCCTGTATGTCTATGTCCTGTCATTGCCATGCAACTTCTTATGCAGGTCCTACCCCATCCTGGCCATTCGTTCCTCCTCCCTCCCCTGCCATGCCACATGCAAAAACGAACGTGGATGACGTTAATATGGAAACGTTCGGCTCGACCCCGATATGGAAAAAGACTGCAATGCCACACCGAACTTACAATCTCATATTCCTCTGCATGCACCGTTTCGCACGGGAGGCGGGAGGCGTGCTTCCACTCCTGTAGCACACAATGGAGACGTCTGGAGACAGCGGGTGGAAGACAGCATGGAGCACTTGGCTGTCGTCAGGAGCGCACCCTGGTGCCCAAATCCTGGGTGCTGAGATTCAGGGATCCCCTCTCGCGGTTCCGTAGGCGCCTCGGGTAAGCACGGGGCCGGGGATGATCATGTATGCCCAGAAGAAGAGAAAGACGACGAGCACATCCGGGCCCGGCTAGGGACATCACGCTAAACGACACGAAGGGGGCAAGGTGCACGATAAACGCACCACTGCCGAGATCACGCTGAACGCGAGGGCAGGGGACAAGGGCACGCGAAACGCTTTCGTCAGCGGGGCGTGCACTTACCTTTGCCCGCATCTCCACTCCTCCAATAGAGGCAGGAGGAAGCAGGAGGAACGGAGGAGTAGGAGGAGGAGGAGGAGCAGGAGGAGGAGGAAGATCGGTCGACACGATGCTCCCGTACGCCTGGCGGAATGCAGTTAGGTGCAACTCCTGTCGGATTTGCAGGACCGGCTTACTCTCCTCCCATCTCCTCCCTCTCTCTGGCCTCTGCCCTTGTCCCCCATCCCACCCATTCTCCCTCCCTCCCTCCCTTCCTCCCTCCTGCCTTCTTGGCATGGGGGCTGCGAGCCGTTTGACTTTTCCCAGCGGGGCCGTGATCGCGGGTTGCTCTGGCGCGACCTCCCTCGCGCGCCTGCTCTTGCTTGGGCGCCTTCGCAAGATCGCCTCAACGTGCTGGACGGTCTGGCTCAAGAGCGACATCGATGACGTTTCGCTTCAGGCCATCGGCGGGGCGGCAGCAGTTCGGCGCGAGCTTGGAGCTGCGTTGAACCAAGTCTCTGGCGAAGTGCAGGCCAAGGGGCTGCCCATCGCCTGGAATAAGACGGGGCTCCTGTCTTCCTCCCTCGAGGTGGCCGAGGGCCTTCTCGAGGACAGCGGCCTCCCAGCCTCTGCCCGCTGCCGGGTGCACCTTGACCTCGGCGGTGATGCGACAGACAAAAGCCGTCGTCGGGTCACTACACAGCAGGAAAGATTGTTGGATGCCCAGAGGAAGGTTTCCAGGGCCCTGGCCCTTCGGGACGCGGGCGCCCAAGCTGGCATTTTTTTTAGAGCTGGCGTTTCCGCCACGGCCCTCAAAAGGGGGCCAACATCCAGGGGGGTTCAGACGGCAAACTTAAGAGCTTGCATGTAGCTGCTGTCCGTGCTGAAGGTCGCTTGCCCGGGGGATGCTCTCCCGGGTTGGCGGCGATGTGCACTCGCGGGGGTTGGGTGACGGATCCCCTGGTGCAGCTGACGTCCGATGCTGTGAAAACGCGCGCTCATATCTTGCAGGACGGTCGCCTCGCCGACACGGTCCTGCGGGCATTGTTTTCTTTGGGATTTGCCATGGCGGCAAAACCGAAGCCTTGGCTTTTGGTCAAGATCCCATCAGTGCCCTCATTTTCACCTGTGCTGGGGTCGGCTTGATTTTGACAAATCCCTGGAGACTCAGGGAAGCCTCGGGTCAAGAGCGGTCTCCCCTGGGTTCCTCGCCGGGCGGGCAAGATTCGTTGCGCGTCGCAGCTCCGGCGAGGCCGCCCTTGCCAAGATCGGGCCAAAGCAAGCTTGACGCGGCGAGATTTTCCGGCGGCCGCTCACTGAACTCCTTCATCAGAGAGCCGAGGGCCCGGGCGAGGTGGGGACCTGGGGGACCTGGGGATTCTTCAGGGAGCAGCGCACTCTAAAGGGCCTGGTCATGGGCTCTTACTTGGATTCCAACGTGGGTATGTTATTACAGAGAAGGTCATGAAACAAATGTTGAAACACAGATGGTGCCTATCCGTGCGTATGCGGTCAGGCAAAGCGGGGGGGCATCAACGCGACGCCAAGGAGCATCGTAGACTCGAGCCTTTGGCCTGGAAGCACGACGCGCACGACTACCCATATCAAGAAGTTCTGCAGCCGATCGCTGTGTTTTGGGGGGGTTCACGGACACGCAAAACACTGATCGGCTGAGCGTTAGCTGGCGCCCTCCTCATCCTCATGCCCCACCCCCGGCCTGCTCCCAATATCCCTTCGCTGTCGCCCCACCCTCCTCATGCCCCTCCGACTCCCCCCAGTCGTCCTCATGCCCCTCATCCTCATTGTCAACCTCCCCATCTGCCAGTTCATGTCGTTCCTCGTTGTCCTCCTCCGCAATCTGAGTTCCCGATCAACCACATGCGTACTACGCCCTAATGCACATCACCCCCCCTTCTTCTGCCCCCCCCGCCCCCCTCGTCCTCGTGATGCTGACGCCGATGATGCAATTTCTCCTGGGCCCATTGCCTCCCCTCTCGTCCTTTCCCTTTCATCCCCGGCCCCGTCGCCACCCCTCCTCTCGATCCCCTTTCCCTCCCATGGCCCAGCATTCCCACCGCCCCGCGCTTTTGCCTTCCCAGACCACGGCCCCTTCCTGGACCAGCCGGGAAGTCCGCGGAAACTCTCACCCCATGGCCACTCCAGCGAGCGGCGCGCAACAAATGCACAGTTGGACACGCGAGCTGTGTATTTCGACCGCGTGCAACGCCCCCCCTGGACCAGCCGAAAGAGAAACGTGAAAGTTCCCGCCCAATCAACACCACCCGCGAGGGGCACACTCCGAATACACAGATGGGAACAAGATCTGCGTGCGCGGATCACACCACGAATTGTGTATACAGTGGACCCACGAACGCAAATACACACTTGAAGACACCAGCAATGTACACATATCACACCTTGACCTGTGTATTTCAAAAAAACTTTCGCCACCTCGAGGGCACCCCGACTCTGCCAACCCAGAACCGGGGTCGACGTGCCGCGCGGGGGGGGGGAAATACACACTTTCCTGGCCCAGGGCGGTCCCGACGGAGCTGCAAATGCGCGCTTCCCTTGCGCAGGGCGGCCGCGGCGAAATGCGGCACCAAAGCGGCCCCCAACGGCCCCAAGACGTCCCCAAAGAGCCCCGCAGGACCCCAAAGAAGGCCGCACAGCAGTCCAAGAGGTGTCACATGTCAGAGAACTCTTACCACTCATAGCTCCGCGCGTCGCCATACAGACCGCTGCGCGGGTAAGGGGGTGGACCTTGCCGCAAGCACCTATGCGCCTACATGTTAGCGATGCGAGTGTGCTTGGCGGCCGTGCCGCCCGCGTTTGGAGTGCGGCCCGAACGCTTGTAGTGGCAATCCCCTCTGTTTGGTTGCGCCGCTGTGCTCGGGTATCGAAATGGTGGTATACCGCTGATACGGGCACGCGGCACCGGGGACTTCACTTCCCTTCTCCGAACACTGAGGGAAGACGAGGTAGGACGACGGACGGTGGAGCAGGGAGGCAAATAAGACGGAGGAGTAATGGGGGATGTGGAAAGAAGCGCTCTGAAAGGCCCTTGCCTGGGGTCGCAGGTGGCCCTTGTCGGGGCCGGCCGAAAAAACAAGTTCAGGATTTCTCGGTTGAGGCATCCCAGCCGACCCTTCAGGTTGGGCCCCGGGTGCACCCCTGGGGGCCAGGTGCGGGAACTGTTCGCGGGGAGGTTCGTGGAAAGCGGTGTTCGTTGGGGCCCAGCCTGGAAGAGGGAGGAGCGAACCTGCTCCACGGTTTTTCAATCGGCACGATTTGTGCCTGTCTGATTGTCTCCCAGCTTTCGGCTTGAACGAAGGGGAGGCACAGAACCTCGGTAGCAAGCTTCGTGTCAAGCAGCAGGCCAACGACCTGCCAGTAGAGGAAGACTTTTTTTTTTTCCTAGGGGGGGCCCTGTCGTTGACCCCTGGCAGGGTTTGGCCCCCTGCCAGGGTGCCAGAAAAAAAGTCCTCTCCGATGGGCCCCCGGGGGGCATGTTGGACTTGTCGGACCTTTTTTATTTCCCTCTCTCTCTCTCTCCCTCTCTCTTTCCCCTCAATGGCGTGCGATCCCACCCTCCACCCTTTCCCCCTTTCCTTCCTCGCCACCTTTCTCCCCCTCTACGTACCTGGGGAGTGTCCCATGCCGCCCTGGAAATCTATAAGCTTTCGTTGGTAATTCGGAGCGCTCCTGGTGCCCTTTCGGGCTGGCCTCCCTGAAGGCCCCCTTGGGCAATCTTGGGCGCTTTGGGGACCATTGTGGTCCGCTTTGGGCAGCAATCGGGGCCATGGGCTGTGTTGGCGGCGTTTGGGGCTTCTTAGAGCTCCCTTGGGCCGTCCTGGGCCGATTAGGAAGCCATGTTGGGTCCTTATTGGGATGCGTGGGGCCCTCCTGGGCCATTCTGGGCTGCTCCTTGACCCATCCTGGGCTGTCTTACAACTCTACGAAACCCTTTTGACGTCACTTCTTGGAGCCCTGAGCCATCCTGCTCCCCCCCCGCTGGAGACGGGGACCGTGTAATGTGTACCTGCCTCCCCGCCCTTCCCGCTCCCCCTTGGCTTGCTCTGGGCCTCTCTGAAAACTCTCTTGGGCAATCTTGGGCGCTTTGGGGGCCAGTTTGGACCGTTTTGGGCAGCAATCGGGGCCATCCTGGGGTGCCTTGGCGGCCTTTTGGGTCATCTTGGAGCTCCCCTGGGCGGTCCTGGCTCTCTCTGAATCTCTGCTGGGCCTTCTTCGGGGTGTTCGGGCAATTCTGGGACGCTATTGGCTCCTCCTGGATCCGCCCTGGGCTGGCTTACAACTCTATGGAGTCGCGCCGGGCCTGCCTGAAGGCCCGTTTGGGCAATCTTGGGC